ACACTGTCTAAAACACCCATTTCCTTCCGAAAACTGACTTTCCTTTCTTGACTTTCCCACTTCTTTCAGCCCCGTGTTTGTGCTTATTCTCACCGACGCGCGGCCATTTGGGAAATGGTGTAGCGTGAGAGAAAGAGGACCCTCCCCTGGGGGCCGGCAGCCTCAGGGTTCCGGCCAGTGACCGTCGGGGGACCTGAGGGCCGACCCTCCTCCTGCTCAGCCAGTCCACACACCAGGCTATCTTTATGGTACATCTTATAAAATAGTTTTAAAAACGAAAGAACAGTAAAATAAAAGTGCAAAGAAAAAAAAAATTTTAAAACAATTTATACTAGAAGAATTTTCATTCTGACCACTCAATACTACGACTTTATACAAAAATTTTATAGCCAAAAAAAAAAAGAAAAAAATTTAAGAGGAAAGAAGTGTTCCGACCGTTTAAGTCCCTGTGCCGATGAAGGCCTGTCCACACAATGAAACAGGACGCCGCAGTCCTAAGCTTTGCTTTGAGAGTTCTGACGGACACAGTGACGCTCCGGTGTCACTGCGTGAGAGGAAGCTACCCAAAGTGCCTCCGCCTGCAAGTTCGCGCCCACAGATGTGCCCTCAAGTTCGCTCTTCTGACATCCGGCTGCCTCCTCGCCCCTCCCCCACCTCTCCAAGTTCTGAGCTAATCAAATCTCAGTGTCTTCAGTAATGCCTCTCAGACTCAGGAAGCCTGCCAGCTACCAAAACCTACGGCACCATTAAGGGCTGAGGGTCAACAAACAGAGCATCTCACAAAGAAACAGTAGCCACGTGACGGCGTCTCCCTCCGGGAAATCAGCTGAGCCTGTGAGACAGGGGTGCATGTGCCCGAGAATGAATTATAAATGGGGACAAGCAACAACCATGCTGTCTGCGCACAATCCCGCGCCATTAAAAACAATGCACCTGGAGGTACGGTCTTCAGGAGAGCAAACCTGTCCTAGAGGGAGGGCAGTTGCAGACTGTGATCTTAGTGCAAACCAGTGAGAGAATTATGAAATCCAGTGCACCTAGAAGTACGGTCTTCAGGAGAGCAAACCTGTCCTACAGGGAGGGCAGTTGCAGACTGTGATCTTAGTGCAAACCAGTGAGAGAATTATGAAATCCAGTGCACCTAGAAGTACGGTCTTCAGGAGAGCAAACCCGTCCTAGAGGGAGGGCAGTTGCAGACTGTGATCTTAGTGCAAACCAGTGAGAGAATTACGAACCCAGTGAGAGCGGCCAATGGCAGCACCAGCCATCACTTAACGGAGGAGCCCGTCTCCGCCGGGCTGGGGTCTCGGTGCACTGATGGGACAACCTTTGCTGCCTGTCTGGAGACAGCTGGCCTTTCGATCACTCTCCCAAGCATGAATCCTCCTACATGGCAGTGAGCTCATGCTTAGGAAAGATGTAAACACGTGTGAACACGCGAGAAAGAACCCACCCACGAGTTCAGCATCAACAGTCTTCCGTGAGTCTCTCTGTACATTCTTTCTGTGTAGACTGTCAACATGGCCTTGGGTTAAGAGCTGCTTAGGTGAGTGAAAAAATATGTATATTTTGCTCTTTGAGACTCACTTCTACAACTGTAAATATAATTAATATTCACAGTGTGCCGTTTAAATTTCTATGCATTTTTTCTGAGCAAACAGGCTTGCCTTCCCCCACAGAAATATATTCATGGTTTTAAAAATGCCTGATAGCTTAAATTTAGAGCAATCCGTCCTGTGACTGGTAATGTTAAATATGCTGTTACTTACCATGCCCTCAAAATTCTTACTACTTTTTTTTTTTTTAATCCTCAACCCAGGATATTTTTCCATTTATCTACAGACAGAATGGGAGGGACAGAGGGAGAGAGAGAAACATTGATGTGAGAGAGACACATGGACTGGCTGCTTCTTGCACAACCCCGACCAGGGCCGGGGATCTAACTAACGGCAACCAAGCTACGTGCCCTTGACGGGAATCAAACCTGCAGCTCTTTGGTCGGCGGCTGACGCTCCAACCGCTGAGCCAAACCAGTAACTCACGTGAAAATCAATTAGCATACCACTGACCACATAATTGATACCCAGAGAACACACACATTAATGAGAGTGTTTTTAAAATGGGGAATTCACAGACACAGCTGGCTAAACAGATGTTCTGGACGGAGGGATGGCGTCTGGTCATCGCACCACTAAGTGGTCCGTTCACCCTGAACGTCTAATAACATCTCACGGGCTCACCGGACTGCCCTCGATGCCCACGGCCCCTGCACACTCGCCACGGGCGCTAACTGCCATCGACACGGAACACCACGCAGCAGGACGCGTGTTGCAGACGGGACCCTGCAGCGGAGCGGCTCGGAGGCTCTGCCCGTCCCCAGGCGGCTGCCGTGCAGACTGCGCTCAGCCCCCCGCTCCCCGACTCCAGCACCCGGGGATCCCAGGGAGCCGGGTCCTGAAACCGGAACCCAATCATGACAATGTCAAAAGCTAGTCTTCAAGTTTTAATGATGAACAACGGTTTTCTCAGCAGAAACTGGTTGGGCCTATTCCTGACCCATCCAAAGAAAACGAGCATGACGCTCACACCGCCCCGCACACCGCGCCCCGCACACCGCGCCCCGCACACCGCGCCCCGCACACCGCGCCCCGCACACCGCGCCCCGCACACCGCGCCCCGCACACCGCGCCCCGCACACCGCGCCCCGCACACCGCGCCCTGCACACCGCGCCCTGCACACCACGCCCTGCACACCGCGCCCTGCACACCGCGAGACTGCCAGCCCTGCAGACAGGTGGCCACGCTGTGCTGTCCACACGTGGATGGTGAAGTAGCACCGAGGCCCCGGGGCCGACCACGGGGAAGAGTCGAGTCCCTGCGGGGAGCCAGCTCTCACCCTGAGCCTCACCTGCGGGCAGCCCAGCGCTGCCCCCTGACTCCCGACGAGACGCGAGAGCATGTCGCCTGGGCGGGTTTCCGGCCAAATGCTCGCTGTGGTCTAATCAGTCCTTCAGACGAGGTTCCCGCTCAGGAGTTTCGAGACCAGAGGAGGAAACCCTGACCCCAGGAGGTGGATACTGCAGGACAAGAGGCTCGGTCCCTCCAGCAATCAGTGTCCTGAGAGCAGAGTGCTCGGGACAGGAGAGACCTCAGGGGCCTGAGGGCCCGGACAGGAGCTGCCTCAGTGGACCTGCGTCAAGGACACTGTGGGGCAGCCCGGAACCTGCGTGTGACGGCCGTTACCCGCTGCCAGTGACTGTGTGGGGCACTCTGGCTGCGCGCGCCACAGTGCCCTGGTCTGAAGAGATGCATGCTGGAAAGTACTTTGATGTAGGATGTCTCTATTTTACTCTGAAATGCTTCAATGTAAACACCGAGTTTTTAAAAAGAGGCAGATGATTTGCAAAAACCACTGCAAAGGAAGATGTGGAGACTATTCACGTTTCAAAGATGACAAGTGTCCAGGAGGACGCATCACAGACAGACAGAGATGCCGCCACAAAGTGCTCAGTGGAAAATCTCAAACGTCAGGTAAAAGATCAATTTTAAAATACATTTTAAAATTCCCTGATAGAATTTCAGAGAAACCTTCAGGCTTGTTACACTGACACTGACACTTCCTAAGAGAGGGGTCGGTAGGTTAGGACTTAGAGCTCAGGGCCCAGCACACAGCTCAGGGCCCAGCACACAGCTCAGGGCCCAGCACACAGCCCAGGGCCCAGCACACAGCCCAGAGCCCAGCACACAGCCCAGGGCCCAGCACACAGCTCAGGGCCCAGCACACAGCCCAGGGCCCAGCACACAGCCCAGGGCCCAGCACACAGCCCAGGGCCCAGCACACAGCTCAGGGCCCAGCACACAGCTCAGGGCCCAGCACACAGCTCAGGGCCCAGCACACAGCCCAGGGCCCAGCACACAGCCCAGGGCCCAGCACACAGCTCAGGGCCCAGCACACAGCTCAGGGCCCAACACACAGCTCACCGCCCAGCACACAGCCCAGGGCCCAGCACACAGCCCAGGGCCCAGCACACAGCCCAGGGCCCAGCACACAGCTCACGGCCCAGCACACAGTTCAGGCCCCAGCACACAGCTCACGGCCCAGCACACAGCTCACGGCCCAGCACACAGTTCAGGCCCCAGCACACAGCTCACGGCCCAGCACACAGCTCACGGCCCAGCACACAGTTCAGGCCCCAGCACACAGCTCAGGGCCCAGCACACAGCTCACGGCCCAGCACACAGCTCAGGGCCCAGCACACAGCTCAGGGCCCAGCACACAGCTCAGGGCCCAGCACACAGCTCACGGCCCAGCACACAGCTCAGGGCCCAGCACACAGCTCAGGGCCCAGCACACAGCCCAGGGCCCAGCACACAGCCCAGGGCCCAGCACACAGCCCAGGGCCCAGCACACAGCTCAGGGCCCAGCACACAGCCCAGGGCCCAGCACACAGCTCAGGGCCCAGCACACAGCTCAGGGCCCAGCACACAGCTCACCACCCAGCACACAGCCCAGGGCCCAGCACACAGCTCAGGGCCCAGCACACAGCTCACCGCCCAGCACATAGCTCACCACCCAGCACACAGCTCCAGAGAGTCCCACCGAGCAGAGGGATGAGAACCTCACATGCTGCATTTCACACCCAAACAGGAATCATTTCCTTTGCACATTAATCAACACCCCTTGTTCAGCGCACACACCTACCACATGAGGAGGCAAAGGTCAGAAGTGTAGACACCGTTTGGGGGAGAAGCAGGATTGGTGGAGTCACCCTGTGGGTGACGGGGGGCCGCGGCCGGGAACAACGGGGAGGCTGCAGTGAGAAGCAAGGCTGGGCTGCGGGACATACACTCCGTGGGCGCCTGCGGAGCACCCGCTCTCCCCGGGGAGGCTGCAGCCGGTGCGGTTCGGGGACAGGCGCCGTCTGGAGCAGCGCCTGCCTCTGGGTGTGCAAATACCCGATTCAAAAGTGGAGCAGACACAACAAGAACAGGAGACCGACCTGAGGCCCAGCTGCCTGCAGACCACCTCGGCGTCAGCGTCGTCCCACTGGTCGTCACAGACGGTGCCCCACTGGCCGGCTCGGCGGAGCTCCACGCGGCCCTCGTGCCCGCTGCTCCCCCCCACGAGGCGCAGGACGGGGGAGGCTGGGCCAGCGCCTGGAAACCAGAGACAGTTACACCCACTGTGGACACAGGAAGGGCTGGGTGTGTCCCTCCTCCCTCGTCTCAGCGACTAAGCTACTTCCTGGGCCGTCTCAGCCACGTGGACATACACACGTACATCTGTCTTACGATCGCCTCCACCCACTGAAATGCCCCACGCTGAATGACAGGCACACAGACCCTCCTGAGAGGACGCAGACAGATGTGCCTTTTCCCCAGCAGCCCCAGGAACCAGAAGACACACTCAGCACCGCGAGCGGGTTCCCACGGCCCTGCGGCGGAGACAGCGGCTGTGTCCCTGCAGCCGAGCATCGCCCACCTGCCGTTTAAGAAGGACCCGTGTCTGCAGCAGACTGGTCTCCAGCAATACGTGATCTGTGCGGGAACACGTCAGAGAGGAGCCCGCACATCCCAATGAGTGGGTGACGTCACGGGCCTGCGTGGGCTCAGATTCATGTCCTGCACGAGGACCCACGCTGGCCTCCCCCTCGGGGTCGTCAGCCACGGTGCCCGAGCCGGCCCTCGCCCGCTTCTGAAGCTGTGTCCTCCTGCCCGGTCAGGGCTGTGGCCACGCTGCCCTCCCCCTCCGGCCCCCGAAACACCCGGGCTTGGATCTGACTTGGGGTCTGGGCACTTGCTGCTCCTTCTGCTCAGAGTGATGTCCCCACAGGTCACAGGCTGAGCCTTCTCGTGGTCCGTGCTCAGCTCGGAAGGAGGCTGCCCTGAGGCCCGGCCAGCACAGCTGCCCAGGTGAAGCCCCCTCCACGGCCCCAGGCTCTCTCTCTCTGAACAAAAATGAAAGGATCTCCTCGGGCGAGGATAAAAAACAGAAGCATAACTGTTCTCAACGCTGTATATTAGCGTCCTAGAATTACCTGATGGCCAAATTATGGTAGGGAACAAATTTGCACAAGTTAGTATGTGCAATTTTCCTTTAAAAGGCTTGGAAAATGTTGGAAAAAATAATGGAAAAGTGTATAAGCTTCTTAAGTTATTATATTCTCCCCTGCCCCCTCCCCTTACCACTGTGGTAAGCTTAGAGAAAACAGAAAAAAATACATATTCTAAGAGGAAATTTAAAATCACCTGCCACTCAGAACCATTATGGCACATTTCCTTATATCTTTAACATCGTGTTTTATTTTAAAACGTGTTTTTTTTCTGGTTGCATAAGTAACTGTGAAAATACAAGAAGCCCAAAGACAAAACCGAGTCAGGTCCCTCATCCTCCCACCGCACGCGGAACCCCGGAGAGAAGCCGTGTGGTGGCCGACACGTTCACTGGGGGACAGACACCCCCCCGCCTCACTGAGGGCGCTGTCTCCTGTCCCCGGTGCCCATGCGGCCGCCCACTCCGCACGTGCTGCACGGCAGGTGGCACCAGCCGGCCGGACACCGAAAGTGACCTCCCGCCCACAGACACGCAGGGCAGGTCCGCTGCGCCTTCGGGTGGGCCCCACGGCGGCTGGCTCAGGCCACCTGCTGCCACGCCCTCCCCTGATTCACCTGAGGCACCTTGCCTTCATTCTCACTTCAGATTTTATATTTCATACTCTCTGCAACCAGAGTGTAAACAAATGGACAGCTTACGGAAAGTAGGAAGAATGTTTTGAAGTGGAGAAATATCCCGGTAGCACCCACCGCCCTACCTGGACTGCGGACACTTGATCAACGAGGTCGCGCGGTAGAGCAACGGCCCCCAGAAAGGCGGTGCAGGGAGAGCCGGTTCACGCCGTCCTCGAGTGCGGGGCTCCCAGGACGGCGAGGGCAGCCTGACCCGAAGGTGCAGAAGCAAAGGAAGGGAAGGACGCCCAGGAGACATCGAGCGGGCCGTGCACCCGGCCTGCCCAGAAAGGACCGCAGGTCCGGAGCGCAGCCCGCACGGCCGGACCACAGCACGGGGCTCGGCCAGCGCACAGGGCTCTAGCCGGCTCTCTGCGCTTCTGCCGCGGGAGGCTTGCCCCCCCTGCCCCCCAACACCTGCGCTCACACAGAAACCACTGCCCAGGACGCCTGCCAGCATTTCAAGACTTGGGACATCTGGCCGTGCTGCGGTCGCCAAGGAAAACGCCCAGAGGGACTGTGGCAGTCGGGGGCCCCGGTTGTGACCGCGCAGTACATGCACACGGTCCCCAGAAAACCATCGGCCACTGCAACAGCGGCCGTCCCGCCTCTGTCCGCGTTCCTATGAACGCGTGCTGTCTGCGGACCGAACCCCACTGTGCCCCTTGTGCCTAGGAGACCTCACCCAAGAGCAGCTCATTCTGCAAAACGCACAGGGGAACGCGGGACTGTGATCACGTCACCCCGCAGAGTGAGATGTCGTGTTGCAGTGGCTGTCTCTCACATCTGGCCTCAAGATCATTTCCCATCACGATTCTATCAGGAGTGTCCACGCCCGAAATAAGCATTTCTTACAGAGCACACAAGCTTTCTTACAGAGGACACAAAGAGCACACCACGTTTCTTACAGAGCAAACCACGTTTCTTACAGAGCACACAAAGAGCACACAACATTTCTTACAGAACACACCACGTTTCTTACAGAGCACACCACCTTTCTTACAAGAGCACACAACCTTTCTTACAGAGCACACAAAAGCACACAACCTTTCTTACAGAGCACACAAAGAGCACACAACCTTTCTTACAGAGCATACCACCTTTCTTACAAAGCACACAAAGAGCACACAACATTTCTTACAGAGCACACAAAGAGCACACAACCTTTCTTACAGAGCACACAAAGAGCACACAACCTTTCTTACAGAGCACACAACGAGCACACAACCTTTCTTACAGAGCACACAAAGAGCACACAACCTTTCTTACAGAGCACACAAAGAGCACACAACCTTTCTTACAGAGCACACAACCTTTCTTACAGAGCACACCACCTTTCTTACAGAGCACACAAAGAGCACACCACGTTTCTTACAGAGCACACAACCTTTCTTACAGAGCACACAAAGAGCACACCACGTTTCTTACAGAGCACACAACCTTTCTTACAGAGCACACAAAGAGCACACCACGTTTCTTACAGAGCACACAACCTTTCTTACAGAACACACAAAGAGCACACCACCTTTCTTACAGAGCACACAAAGAGCACACAACCTTTCTTACAGAGCACACAAAGAGCACACAACCTTTCTTACAGAGCACACAAATAGCACACAACCTTTCTTACAGAGCACACAAAGAGCACACAACCTTTCTTACAGTGCACACAAAGAGCACACAAACTTTCTTACAGAGCACACAAAGAGCACACAACCTTTCTTACAGAGCACACAAAGAGCACACAACCTTTCTTACAGAGCACACAAAGAGCACACAACCTTTCTTACAGAGCACACAAAGAGCACACAACCTTTCTTACAGAGCACACAAAGAGCACACAACCTTTCTTACAGTGCACACAAAGAGCACACAACCTTTTTTACAGAGCACACAACCTTTCTTACAGAGCACACAAAGAGCACACAAAGAGCACACAACCTTTCTTACAGAGCACACAAAGAGCACACAACCTTTCTTACAGAGCACACAAAGAGCACACAACCTTTCTTACAGAGCACACAAAGAGCACACAACATTTCTTACAGAGCACACAAAGAGCACACAACCTTTCTTACAGAGCACACAACCTTTCTTACAGAGCACACCACCTTTCTTACAGAGCACACAAACAGCACACAACATTTCTTACAGAGCACACAACCTTTCTTACAGAGCACACAAAGAGCACACCACGTTTCTTACAGAACACACCACGTTTCTTACAGAGCACACCACCTTTCTTACAGAGCACACAAAGAGCACACAACATTTCTTACAGAGCACACAACCTTTCTTACAGAGCACACAAAGAGCACACCACGTTTCTTACAGAACACACCACGTTTCTTACAGAGCACACCACCTTTCTTACAGAGCACACAAAGAACACACAACCTTTCTTACAGAGCACACAATCTTTCTTACAGAGCACACAAAGAGCACACATTTCTTACAGAGCACACCACGTTTCTTACAGAGCACACAAAGAGCACACCACGTTTCTTACAGAGCACACAAAGAACACACCACGTTTCTTACAGAGCACACAACATTTCTTACAGAGCACACCACCTTTCTTACAGAGCACACAACCTTTCTTACAGAGCACACAAAGAGCACACAACCTTTCTTACAGAGCACACAAAGAGCACACAACCTTTCTTACAGAGCACACAAAGAGCACACAACCTTTCTTACAGAGCACACAAAGAGCACACAACCTTTCTTACAGAGCACACAAAGAGCACACAACCTTTCTTACAGAGCACACAAAGAGCACACAACCTTTCTTACAGAGCACACAAAGAGCACACAACCTTTTTTACAGAGCACACAACCTTTCTTACAGAGCACACAAAGAGCACACAACCTTTCTTACAGAGCACACAAAGAGCACACAACCTTTCTTACAGAGCACACAAAGAGCACACAACCTTTCTTACAGAGCACACAAAGAGCACACAACCTTTCTTACAGTGCACACAAAGAGCACACAACCTTTCTTACAGTGCACACAAGAGCACACAACCTTTTTACAGAGCACACAACCTTTCTTACAGAGCACACAAAGAGCACACAACCTTTCTTACAGAGCACACAAAGAGCACACAACCTTTCTTACAGAGCACACAAAGAGCACACAACCTTTCTTACAGTGCACACAAAGAGCACACAACCTTTTTTACAGAGCACACAACCTTTCTTACAGAGCACACAAAGAGCACACAACCTTTCTTACAGAGCACACAAAGAGCACACAACCTTTCTTACAGAGCACACAAAGAGCACACAACCTTTCTTACAGAGCACACCTCGTTTCTGCAACACCTGCGATGAGCTAGCAAGCAGGTTGAATGGAGGTCGAACAGAATCCAAACCATTGGTCACGCTCCCAGTGAAGACTGATCATGACTGAAGAAAGGGGTGAC